CAAAAGCCCAAACATTCGCAACCTAAACCCCTAAACCCTAAACCCTTAACCCTTAAACCCTAAACCCTAAACCCTAATTTGTAACCCCTAAACCCTAACCCCTAAACCCTAAACCCTCAGCCCTCAGCCCTAAACCCTAAGCCCTGGCCTCCAACTCATGCATCATCTCGGGACTCTGCCCATCCTCCTGACGGGGGCTGGGCACATCATCTTTTCCTCATCCATACTTCGGAGTTTCTCCTAAAAACATGGTTGTTTGGACCCTAAAATAAGGTATAGTCCCCCTTAAGTAGATCGAATATGGGGTATATGGGGATCTTAGTATCATATATTCAACGCCATAGTCTATCTACTTAAGGGGGACTATATAACTTGAAACCCAAACCCTAAGCCCTTGCAGACAGTTTCACATGTTTGGTACAGACATTGGGGATTGTCCGAGTGTGCACGTGCCGAAGCCCTAACGCCGTGCCTCCCCTCCAGCTGGGACCAGTTGCTCTCAGGTCCCAAAAAGAATAGCTTGCATTCCCTATATATGATCTCCCTGTGACCCCTCTATGTATGTATTGTGTTTGCTCAAGCGGTACAAACGAAAGCCCCGCAGTTCGTGGCCTCTCCTCAAACCTTGTCAGTGCGAGATAAATTGTTGATCACAAGTCATGGCTATTGAGGGCTCTGCACCGGACAAACTACTCCCCAGCTGCGAACGAACAATCCTGCAAACCAGTAATGACGTAACCTCCAAGCTTGAATCTGGCGCCACGAGCTATGGAATCAGCAGAGTGGTACTATCCTGCCACGATTTGCGCAAACATTATCTGTCAATTTCTCAAAGTCATGATAACTCTAAACCCGAACCCTGAACTGGGACCCTAAACCCCAGACTCTAAACCCTACACCCAAAAAAACAAGCCCTAAACCCTAAGGCCCAAATCCTTAGCCCCAAACCTCAAACCCGAAGCCCTAAGCCCTAAACCTGAAGCCCTAAGCACTAAACCCTGATCTGCTAAGGAGAAGTGGATCGCCTGATCCTGCCTCACCTGGCTGTAATCTCTGTTATCTGGCTTGCTGTTTAGGAGCTGAAGTTAAGTTACCAAGGTTTAGGGTTTAGGGTGATTGTTCTTATTGATTACACGCCCATAATATGGTAGTTTGATTTGATCAATTTCCTTGAGCACAACTCAGTCATTGGGGCTGCCATGTGCTTGTTGAGGACAATGGTCACATGGCATGTATGTCTGATTCTCAGAACCAACACGAAACCCTAGATCCTAAACCCTCAACCCTAAACCAACACAAACCTGGGTGTCAGCCCGGGTGCGGCCTGCACCACAGGGCTGGGTGCACCGTCAACGTTAAGCCTTGCAACTTCAGGATTATGGGCGGCTTAGTTTAAAACATTAACAATAGCAATAACAAAAAAAAATACTGGTAATAACAATGATAATAATCATCCAAGTTTAATACTAATAATAATAAGCTATCACGTGAGCAATTCATGCCAGCTCATCAGGGTAGCATGGTAGGTGAGATGATGACCAGGCAACCCAGGTTTCGGCAACCCTCCTCATCTGAAAGAGCCTCTACAACATCAATGCACATATTATTTTCCTGCACCTAGACTCTCATCCCAACCAAGCACATGTGAAGTTTCCATCATGAGCACAACTATGGTGTGTCCCAAAAAGGTGCTCTCTTTTTGGGCGTCAAACAGGAATTTGGGCAGATACACGACTTGATGCAAGTACAAGGGGCATCCGCCGCCCGGCAAACACTTCGTCAGCCTGCGTGGTGAAGTCTGTCGCGGCCACGACTACTTCAGTCATAGCTTGAGCACATGACAGAAGCCCGAAGAGTCGGTAAAAGGACTTCGTTCGTTTAAGTTAATCGGGGAACCTCAGAGAGCGATTCTTTGTGTTTTGCGCCTTACCAGAAAGAACTGAGCATGCTCACGGACATGCCCAAAAACAGGGGCTGCGCATCTTGTGCTTCCACTGCAATCACTTTCGGATTACTTGCAAGCTAACTTTATGGAAAGTCTGTGCCTGCGGTCATCTGGTAAAACTACAGAAGAGAATGCCGGAGCTCAGTAGGAGTACTCAACCATAACAGCTACTGCTACCACAGCCCCTATAATCCTGATATAAACCTGACGAAATCCCTAAAATCCCTATGGTTTCCATTTTGTTTTCCATTATCCCAATATAACCCTAAACTCTAAACCCTATACCATAGTGGTTTCCATTTTCTTTTCCATTATCCCAATATAACCCTGATATATACCCCCTACACTGCCTGAAGCGAGGCCCGGGGCTTCCCAAAGAGCCGGCATTCCAGCTTCCCAAGCTGCTCCAGGAACTCCTCATCTTACTAGGGTTTAGGGTTTAGGGTTTGGGTTTTTTTTTTATACGCCCCTTTTACCCGCTAGCAGATAAAGTCCAATGTTGGACGGGCGGTTTAGGCTCTAAGGTTTAGGGTTTAGGGTTTGGGGTTTAGGCTTTAAGGTTTAGGGTTTAGGGCTTGGGGTTTAGGGTTTAGGGTTGAGGGTTAAGGGTTTAGGGCTTAGCGTGGATGAATCCGGAATAAGGGAATAGTGTATATAGGGGTGATATACATTCTACACAGATTATATAGGAATTATTATGGGGGTTTCTAGGGATTATGTAGGGATTACATTCCCTTCTTCCCTACCAATTACCAGAAAGGATACATGCAAAAATGATGGGCTTCGTTCTTGGGGTGACTGACGCACATCCAGGCATTGCATGGAACAGGCTACAAAAAGGACCCCTATAACAAAGAACACATGGCGGCTGGAGGATGCTGGGAGATTTATCCAAATTGGATAGTGTTTTTTTGGTGGTTAAACCCAGTAAGAATATCTTCCTTTCAGAAAAATACTATACCCCAAAGGAAGGATATAATCTTACTCTATAGTGGGTACCATAGTATCCCCAAATAAAATACTACTCAATTGTGGCTTGGCTGCATCCAACTTGTAACAATCCCAGGAGGAGATTTGATACGAGCCCAAGACAGGTGGTTGAAACTAAAAACTTGCTTGAGCCTTGCTACTAGATTGTTGGGAAATGTGGAAGACTGTGGGCAACGACGGGAATCCGGAAAAATCGAACTACCATCTTCGTTCTGCGTTTCCTAGGGTATGTATTGAGGTTATATTGGAATCATATATGAATAATGGAAAAGAAAATGGAAACTACTATACTATGATCGGCCTTGGTACTGCAAATAACCGTTAACCTGATGCGTCCTTCCCATACGTTAGGTGGACCCCCCACCCTGTAATAGTGACTATAAGGAATAATAGGGATCATATTAGGGTTCTCTTATATTCCTATTATACCACTATTACAGGGTGGGGGGTCCTCCTAACCCATAGGAACTTCGAAGCCGAAGCCTGCTAGCTCCGATCTGGCGCCTGCCGTGGGTCCGCAATGGGCCGCTTCTGGCGAAGGAAGCTGTGGGCCTCCTGGAGACTCATCCTCTCCTCGAGTTTTAGGGTTTAGGGTTCAGGGTTTTACTCGCGGCTTCCGGTGCTCCCAAGAAACAATAAACAACACTAACAATGACATTAAGAATAATGAGAATGATAAGAATAAGAACAAGAAAATAGTCGCAACAATATTAGCAGTAATAAGAGTATTGCAGCGACAGCACAAAAACAATGATAATGATCATAATCTAGCCATATCTTCCCATAATCTAAATATCAGCCTGCCAGTGGGCCTGCATTAAAATGGAGTTGAGGAAGCGGAAGCCCCAAAGCTGGAGCTCGTTGCAGAGGACAACCCTGTTGAAGGTAACAAAATGCTGGAACATTCTTTCCCAAAATTAGGGGTACCTTCTTGGGGTCCCTGTAATAAGGACAATACTATCTTGGGCTCTATACTGGGGTACCCTAATAAACTAAACTTCCGATAGACACGGCTCAACGATGAGGTCTCTGTACCTTGACTCATGCACAAGCCCCCAGGCCCCTATCCTGGCACACAGATCTGCCGACCCTAAACGAAGTGGCACTTGCTCTGTGCAGGCAGGGCACAAATTTCATGAGATAGGCGACGACCTCAACAAATCTCTTTTCCAGCCCTTTGAGGGGTAGGCCTTGAGGCCTCAGGATGACTCAGGATTGCAGACATGAAGGCTTAGCAGAGCTCCTCAAGTTGCATCGTTGGTTTGTTCTTAAATTCTGTGCACACTGTTGAGAGCAAATGTTGCCTCCAGGTAGTTGCTTACAGCAAGGAACGTAAAGCGAATGAAACTTCTGATAAGCCTAAACTCCTGGTCAAAGAAACCTGCAGTCGTAAAGCTGCGAGTTGGGAACTTTTTTGGTCACGGGCTGCAGCCACACACAACCACAGTAATGGCTTTGGATTCTCCTTGTTGTCACATTGTCTCAACTTCAGTCCTAGAATCTCCTTATGAGACCCTTCTCGATACATCCCGCAATGCAAGATGGATATCTGGAACATCTGCAGATGCTCTAGGAAATCATGAGACTGTCAAAGATATGTCGCTGAACCTTAAACACGTCTTCTCCACATCCACTGGGCACAAGGCTACTGCAGCAGACCGAGAGACACCCTGCACGCAGTTCACGAGCACCTGTCTGACATGTTCTCTGCGTCATACTAGCATTCTGGCTGCATGATACCACCCACCAACATTGATGCTGAGACTCAGACACCAGCTTATCTGGTCTGGGGATTGCATGTGCATTGCCACACTCGCCAATGGCACCCTAGTACCAAACTCCCGTCCAGAAGACCAGAACGAGCACTAATCGCAACTCGGACCCCTACAGACCTCACATGCTTTTGCAATCAGTGCCCTTCCGGCACCCTGTGCTGGTCACTGGCGGAGTGCGCATCATGGATGAACTGCAGTGCGCCTGGAGGTTCCAGAGGCGTGGAAGCTGGGGGTTTGGAGGAAGGACGGGGATGGGCATTGGCGAAAATCATATGGTAGTTTCCCAAAATAAGGGGACCCCAATATAGACCCCCATATCAAGACATCAACTTGAGTTTGCGGAGGCAGCGTTCCCCTGCCCAATGGGTTGCGGCCCCAGAAGGAAACTGAGTGGGCAGCTGAAAAATGGATAGCTACTTGGAGGGTCAGGGGGACTTAGTAAGTAGGTTAATAACTCCAACAAGCCATGTAATAACGCCAATTATCCCCTAAACCCTAAACCCGAAACCGCAGAGCTACTTAACAAGTCCCCCTGACCCTCCAAGTAAGGTGTCGGCCTTGAGCTCTGGGTGCCACGAGAGAGGCTACTCCGTATGACCCATGGTGTTTATTTTGGACACCCGATATCTGCACTCACCACTGTTCTTGAAAAATTGTATATACATTTTATATGTATATATATAAGTATTCACCAAAGACATCCAAAAGCCAGAATAAAGACCTACGTATTGGGGGCCTGATTCCGACTATTGCAAAAAAGGAACCACGGCCTACCGCCTAGGCTGCTGGGACAGGCACCATCCATCTCTGCCAGAATGTCTTGGTCCGGGGTGTCCCCAAAACCGATCCTTGATTTTCTGGCAGGGCTAAGCCTAAAAAAACTCAGCTTGCTGTTGTCATTCGAGGACTTGAAAGGGATCAAAACTCAAAGCTAGCGCAAAAGAAGCTCTGCTCTGAGGGGATCTGTGTCCAAACACCCAAGGTTAGTTAGTCCTTTACCCTGGCAAGCCATCAATTTATGAGCTCAGTTGGCAGCAGCCAGCAGTGCTGATGAACAGCAAACGAGAAACAAACAGCATCGTGGGAATCAGCTGCCCTTGCCTTTTTCCCCAACCCGCCTAACGGCCAGCATCATGAGCATCAGCTGCCCTTGCCTTTTTCCCCAACCCCGCCAAACG